TTGTGGATAGGCCGCCGTATGACTCCAGACTTAGTTGTGATGTCTGCGACGCGCACCTTGCCATCTGCCTCCGGAATTGTTTTGGTGACTCTGCCCAGCGCTCACAGTTGCGGTGGAACGTTGTCCTCGTGTACGACGACGAGTTGGCCTGTCTCGACGTTAGGCTGCGGTTGGGCCCACTTGTTGCGCTGCTGGAGCTCCAAAAGGTAGTTCTTAGACCACGCGCCCCAAAACTGCTGCTTGTGAAAGCAAACAAGCTTCCATCTGTCTAAGCAGCGGCTGGGACTGTCGGGCACTATCTCCGGTGGCAGAGCTCGCAAGGGGCATCCGACTAGTAGATGCGCGGGAGTTATCGCTTCGCCGTCGTTGGGGTTGCTGCTGAGCGGTGCGAGTGGGCGCGAGTTGAGCACTGCTTCGATCTCGACGAGCGATTTCTTCGGCGGTTAGCAGCGCGTTGCCTACGGCGCGCACTAGCAGTAGAACTGCAGAACTATCGATAGTGATGACATTCGATAGTTTCGATAGTTAGAAAAATACTATCGATATTTTCGATAGTATCGTGTTCTATTGTGTTGTATATGTATATTGCACATATGTAAGTATAAATATTACATCTTAAACGTGAAATTCTAAATATTTTCCTTAGTTAAATTCATAGCGTCACTTATTTGAGTAAAGATCACGAAATTTCAACGCACCGGCACTATCGAAACTATCGACTACCGCCCGAAAACAATCGATGTTTTTGCAAAAACAAAACTATCGATACTATCGATAGTACAATCGATAGTTTTGCAGCTCTAACTAGCAGATGTTTCGCCGACTTCACTGCTGCCTCCCACAGCCCGCCGAAGTGGGGCGCCCTCGGAGGTACGAAGGCGAACGTGAACCCTTCGTCGGCAGCGAACTGGAAAATCTCCGGCTTTTGCTTCAGAAAGGCCTCCCGAAGCTCCCTCAGCTTCCTCTCCGCTCCTACGACGTTCGTCGCGTTGTCGCAATGTATCCTGGCTGGTATCCCCCCGCGTCCAATGAACCTTTTTAGGGCGAGAATAAATTTATCAGCAGTTAAGTCAGATACAAGTTCTAAGTGTACTGCCTTTGAAGGGAAACAAACGAAAATGGCAATGTACCTTTTCACGGGTGGTCGGCCGCGAATTTTCAACGTTATATGAATGGGCCCGCAATAATCTACACCGCATATAATAAATGGTCGTTGGGCTCGTAGCCTATCGGCGGGTAGATTGCCCATGATCTGACTTTGCAGTTTCGGCTTATAATGGAAACAGTGAATGCATTCTCTAACAGTTCGACTACAGGCTTCCCATGCATTTACTAACCATATTTTTTCTCGTAGAAGCGCTACCAATGCCATGGGCCCGGCATGGTTATTGCGAACATGTAGAAACCGGAGATATGCTTTCACAAAGTGCGAACCTTTACTTAATAGCAGAGGAAATTTGGCATCATAGGGAATGGGCGCGTTCAGTAAACGGCCATCTACTCGAATTAGTTTAACCGATAATGATCATTCAGAGTATTCAAGCAGAACGGGAGATAATTTCTGCAAGCTAGAAGGAAGTGCGATATTTTTCGATAATTTGTTAATTTTTTCGCTATAATCAGAATGTTGAAATATTTCGACAATTTTAAGGAAACTAAGCTGTAACTCCTTTGCTGTGGGTACAACTACAAATTCTAACTTTCGATCTCTAGTTTTTCGAGGCCATCTTAGTACGTAAGCGAATATTCAAAGCACTTTCATGTGGAATGAGAATATTTCAATTAAATCTAGAAGTGGATTTTTTGTGGCCTCAATTGCACTTAACGTTATTGCGTTCTTTTTCTTTTCAAGTGCTTGCTGCTCTGGAGAGAGGTTAAAATTGACATTTTGTGGCCATAAAGCAGGGTCTTCTAGGAAGAACTGCGGACAGGAAAACCATATTGATGTATTTAATTCGTCCACGTTACAACCCCGAGACACTTGATCCGCTGGGTTTTGTTTTGTTGGCACATGTCGCCATGGTACATTCTGGGTCCACTCTTGGATTTCGGACACTCTATTTGCGACGAAAGTTTGCAGCGCAGATGGATGCGTTTTGATCCACTGCAAAACTCTTTCGGAAGCTGTACAGAAATTAACTTTTTCTATCGGTCGACTCAACATAGGCGAAATTCTTCACCATAATTTGGCCAGAAGATGTGCTGTCGAGAGCTCGGAAGAGATTTAGTCTTCAGCGGAGCTACTCTAGACTTTGCAGTAAGTAGCGTACATCTCGTACCACTAGCGGTTTGGCTACGTATATATACGCAGCAGCCGTAAGCTCTTATTGAGGCGTCGGAAAATCCATGAATTTGGCAGCTGGCAGTCGACTCAGTATTTACATACCGGGGAATGCTGATTGATGGAAGCTGCAGTAAGTTTACTTTAAAGTTTTACCAGCTAGTGTCGAGGCGCAATGGAATCACTCATCCCAATCTAGCTTTTGAATTCAAAGCTCTTGCAGTAAGATTTTTGCTTTGGTAACTAGAGGCTAGCAGAGACCGATAAAATGTTTCGTTTGGTTGCTCGCAGTTCACTAAAGCTGTCTTCCAGAATGAAGCGAAAAATGTCATCTTTCGGTTGCCAGTGAATTCCCAGCGTTTTTGTAGAGTGTGTCGCTGAGTTGCAATAACTTATTATGCCTCTCGCTGTTCGACCGGTTAGGGTGATTGGAAAACCACTTTGATAGTTTGAGGCCTGCCGATTCTAGAATTTTATTCACCTCAGTTTGAATTTGAATGAGAGATTTCAAATCGTCGGATCCTGTCAGCAGGCCGTCGACATAAAAATCATTTCGAATTCCTTTGGCACCGAGTGGCGAGTGTAGCGAGAAACGGTGCAGGCGCAGTGCCGTAAGTCACGGTATTTAAATGAAAGACTTGCAAATGCTCTGATGGATCTGGTCTTCATACTATGAGCTGGAAGTTCCTATCATCTTCGTGCATTGAAATCTGTCGATACATCTTTGTGAGGTCGGCAGTAATGGTTTATTTGTGCAATCGGAAGCGAAGGAGTGTCGAAAAAAGCTCTTCTTGAACGGTCGGTCCGACCATTAAGATGCCATTCAACGCAACTTGTGTGGATGTACGGCTTGAAGAGTCAAAAACTGCGCGCAACTTGGTAGTCGTGCTTTTCGGTCTTAACACACACTGAATGAAATAATGCGGCTAACTCGGGATTTTGTTGTTTGTGGGGCGCATATGGCCCAATTCTAGGTACTCTTTCATGAAGTCCAGATACATTTTGCGAAGTTCTGGATCTTTCAGAGTCCTTCTCTCCAGCGCCTGAAACCGCCGAGCTGCGGTTCCATACGAATGACCGAGTAAGGGTCTGATTATGCATACTTCGCACAACCATTTGTACCAGAGCACTAAAACTGTAACTTAAGAAAATGTGAAGCAAAATCTAAACTCAACAGATCACTAAGTTTTTAAAAGTTCTGCTAATTTCAGGGTAATGGAATACATACAAAGTACATACGAAATTACAGTTTGAAGTTTATGCGAAGTTGTGCGAAGTTATGCGAAGTATGCATAATCAGACCATAACTTGCGATCATTTTTAAAAGGCAATCTGACTTGAAGCCTTCCATCTGGCAAAACAACCGTGGTTTTCGAAAATACCTGCTCGCATTCAGCTTGTTCAGGAGTTAGTCTTTTGACGTTTGCCTCCGAGGGTAGTTCTTCCAGCGCCCAAAATTTCTGGACGGTGGCATCGATATTTTCCATATTTTCTTCGGCTTTACATAATGTGCTACTTACTTGTCCACTGGAGCTTTGACTTGAGGCATATTTGCCCGATATTATCCAGCCTAATAATGTTTTTTGCAGCGTTGGCTGCCTTGGACTGGTTTTGATCTGACCCACCGATAACAGATCAAAGAACTTTTCTGCTCCCAATAATATGTCGATTTTTTGACACTTGAAGAAGTTTGGGTCAGCCAGTTGGAGATTTTGTGGGATTTTCCAGCCATTTGTGTTCACTGTCTGATCTGGGTGATTGGCTGATATCGAACGCACTACCCGAAAATCTGTTGAAAATTCAAAATCATTGACCCTCGATTTTACGAAAGCATTTAATTTGCCTTGGACCTTTTTATTCGAATTTACAATTCCAATACATTCACAGTCGACTTCTCCCTTCGAATTTGCACTTTTTGTGCCAGCTCCTCGGTCATAAAATTGACTTGGGACCCAGAGTCAAGCAGAGCGGGAGCTGACACATAACTACCGGAGCAGCACCTTACGTACACTACGGCTATGGCTAGCATGACGCGATCTGGCACACATCGCCTGTGTCATCGGAGGTTGACGCTCAGTCTCAAAAGAGATCGGGTATTGGTGCAGCATAGTATGGTGTGACCGATTGCGCACGCGACAGCGATCTGATTTGCACCTTGAGACGGTATGTCCCTTGCGCAAGCAATTTATGCACAAGGAAACCGATTTCGTGTATTCGAATCTCTGAAGAGCAGTCAACGCTTGGAATTTGGGCAAGATGTAATGAAATGGTCCTTTGAACCACAGTGCAGGTAAGTTGGCTCTTTAGAGTTTGTTGCGATAAATGCTGCCTTCGATCTTTCGAATTGTTGATTCCTTGTCTTCTGTGTGTCTGAATTATTATCTTTTGTCTGGGATGAGGAAGCTTCTTCAGCAGAAAGATGCTGGTACTTCTTATTGAGCATAGCTTCACACTCAGCCCAAAGCGGCAATTTATCATAGTCCAGCTCCTCCTCCCACTTTGACCGAGTAGTGGGATCATGTGGGACATGACTATGTGAATTAACATCGCATTTGAAATATGTTTGTCATCACCCAGAGACAAAAGCGAGTCATACAGCGCGGACACTGTGTCGATTATAGATCGCAAAGATGAAGCAGAAGGTTTTTTGAATTTTAGTAAGATCAAAGAGTCTAGAAACTGTATTGAAAAATATAAGACATTTATTGCCATATACTCTCTACAAAATGGCCAACGCCTTTGGGTAGTTCTCTTCCGACATTTGAAAGGACTTCACTGTGCCAAATGGTTCACAGGATAAACACGACACTAAATGATTAAATTTTTCGATATCCGGGATCGTAGGATCGTTATGCACTAAACTTTCAAACAAGCTCATGCAATTCTTAAATTCAGAATATTCCCCTTTAAATTTGGGCAGCGACATCTTAGGGAGTCGCGAGCTGTGAGGTGCAATAAATGCTGATTCAGCAACAGAAGATTTATTTTTTGCGAGAATGGACTTAATCATGGACTTCGTTTCTACAACTATGTCCTCCAATTCTCCGCGGGCCAAATCTGCCTCATCAATTTCTTCTATTCTTGATTGACACGTCATTAGCTTTTCGCTGTGTGAATTTAAAATTTCAAGTCTACATTCTAGTTCGATGGGATCTAACGACATGGTTTTTTCAATAAGGCTCGTTCTTATACGTACTATGTTTCTTTTCAGAACTGAAAGTTGCTTTTTAAATACCTTAAATTGTTCTACTTGGCTCATTTTTAAATCGAGTTCAGATGTCTTGGTTGCGAACAGAAGTATAACTTTTGCTTTTATGCACAGTAATTTTGTGCTCGAAAAATAGTTCTGGAAGTTTTTTAGGAAACTAAAACAAAACAAAAATTAGATGAAACTTGACCAGAACCAACGAAAAACGAGATCGAAAGCCAATTGCCGAACACCAAGAAATTGCAACGGTTGTATAATTTTTCAATTTGCAGTAGCAAATTGGCGTAAATTAAATTTGCGAAAAATATCGTATAGACTCCTAAGCCTGTAAATCACGCTTTGATTTTTTGAAAATTTACGAAAAAATACAAATCGAAAATAGTACCCGCAAAATTATTCAAACACAAAACGCGTACTTCTACCTCTTGTCCCAATGTATCCTTCACTTTAAAGGCAGTATGTAAATATGTATGTATGTATATACGAGGTCTATTTGCATGCAATATCAGCCCAATTCTAAATATTTCGGGGAATTTTTCACATGCGGAATTTATTTTTCACTGTGGAAAAATTCGCCGATTTTAAATGCTCAGGGAGAAGGTTTTTTTGCGAATAGGAATTTTTCACTTTCGAAATCAGCTGTTTATGACAATTATCTCATTATTTGCAAATTTAAACTTGGCAAACTTTTGCAAATTTGAAGCTTAAACACTAAAAATGAATAGCCTAGCGTTAAATTTTCTAGTTGAAGAAATTATGCAAGAAGAGGAGCAGTGTAAAAATGCGCAAAGGGTTTTCAGGAGGAAACTACGAGACATAACGAACCCATTTGAGCTGCCCGAATCTTTGTAAGTGAAAAAGTTAACCTTTTTTTAATACTAATTATTTGATTTTATTGCGCGGTTATAGATTTGAGAAGTATTACAGGGTAAATAAGTCGGCTTTTAGCTATTTACTAAAAGTCCTAACAAAGTACACACCGAGACGGAAGAAGCAGTTTGCTGTGGCACCGATTGTCAAACTTAGCGCATGTTTGCGCTTTTTTGCAGAGGGTGGTTACCAGACGGGTGTAGGTAAAGACCACGATGTTGGACTAGCACAATCTAGTTTCAGCAAAGTACTAACTGAAGTGCTGGATGTATTTGGCACATACCTATGCCCACAATGGGTACAATTTCCAACAACGCAGGAAGAAAAGCGGAAAATTGCTATTTCGTTTTATGGAAAACATAAAATACCAGGCGTTGTCGGATGTGTGGATGGGACTCATGTCCGTATTATCGCACCGTCGGAAAACAAGCACCTTTACTATAACAGGAAAGGTTATTTCAGTTTAAATGTTATGCTGGTAAAGAGTGAAACGATTTATATGTATTTCTGATTCATAAATTAAGATCAATTATTACAGGCTTGCGACCACGAACTAAAAATACGCTGCGTGGACGCATCACATCCTGGGGCTTGTCATGACTCCTTCATTTGGAATGTCAGTGATCTTAGAAAACATTGCGAAGAAGAGTTTTCGGGTCAAACAAGAAATTTTTGGCTTTTAGGTAAAATTTTACCTTATAATGTGTTATACTAAATTATGTTGACATATTTAGGTGACGCTGGATACCCGCTGGAACCGTGGCTCTTGACTCCATATAGGACGCCAGAAGATGGGTCAGCGGAATTACGCTTCAATGAAATTCACTCTAAATGCCGCAATATCATTGAACGTACAAACGGGGTTTTGAAGAACAGATGGAGATGTATCCTTGGTGCGCGAGAACTTCATTACACGCCCGAGAAAGCGGCAAAAATTGTAAATGTTTGCTGTTGCCTACACAACATTTGCATCCATTTCAAGGTGAATACGCCCGTGGCTGACCCTGATGTTAGCGTTGATGAAATTGAATCTATTTCAATAATATCACAACACAACTTGGAAATTGCAAGATCAATCAGATGCAGCATTCGTGATTCAATTGCTAACTAAATACATGTATTTCTGGTAACAATTCAGTTTATATTTCCATACGTATTTTTTTAGTCATAAAAAATTAAATCATAGTTCATAGTTGTTGTACGAGTATACGTACAGCCCGCGACAAAAGATACCACATCAAAATTTTTAAAGTTTTGTCTATTTTTCTTTTGCTATTTTTAATGTTCATTAATTTTTTTATTAAAGTATAGCCCATTATCTAACAAAAACCTTATAAATACAAATTTCAAACTGAGTACAAAAACTATAAAAATTCCATAAGCTTTTCATTCCAATTTCAAGAATTATAATTAGAATTTATAGAAAAATTTTTGGGATGCAGTTTTATAGTTTATTAAATTTAAGTATTATAAATGGGAAGTTTGAAGTTAAAGAAAAATCGCTTTGATTTTTAATATTTTTTTTTGCTGAAGGTAATGTGCACTTTATTCCACACCAAGTAATTTTCATATGGAAGAAATTGCATACCGTCAGAAAAAAAAAATTATCAAAAATCAGCGCAAGTTTTTAACAACTCCAAACTTGCACTTTATTGCACTAAAATCGAATAAGCTATAAAACTGCATACCAAAAATGCAATTAGAAATTCTAATTAAATTGCTTGGTATTCGAATGGAAAGTTTGTGGATTTTTTACAACTTTTGTACAATATTCAGAATTTCATTTTTTATGGTTTTTGCTAATGATGTATGCTTTAATAAAAAAATGAATATATGTACATTAAAAATAGCAAAAGAAAATTTGTCAAAACTGGCCAAAATATTGATGTGCTATCTTTTACCGCGCTGTATATGTAGAACATCTTATGTTTAAGCAATTTGTACTTCAATGTAACTATTGGTAATGTTATTAATAAAAAATAAATACTCAGGTACTTAGTACTTTAAGGCAATCCAATAAAAAAAAATACTCTTGCAGTATATACACTAGTCGCACTGCATTTGTCCATCATTACTTTTACGAACTTTTAGATCTTCTATTTCCATCAATCGTCTATTCTTTTCCAATTTGTATTCAATTTCTTTTCTTCTCATTTTTTCCATAACATAATTGTGTCTCTTCATTTCTTCTATCTTTTCCTTCTTAATGAGGTTCACTTCCTTCAGATGCGATTCCATCTCTTTATAGTGCTTTTTCTGAATATCATATATCTTGTCCAACCTTTAATTTGTAGGGAAGAGATTATTATTCTTTCTTGTAATAAAATATAAATAAATATAACCTTTGCGATATTTTATTTAAGCTCCCGTGTTGCTCTTTTAGATCGGTTGCTGCAGTCTTTATATGCGCATTTTTATTTCCCCTTTCAAGGCGGCAGCTGCAACGGCTTTTGATTGTTTTGGAACCGGAGAACATAATTCTGTGATAATGCCCGTTTTAACACAATCTGTAATTTTACTTGTAGCCGCCGTGCCGTTGTCTTGAGGTTCCTGGGTTGCAATCACCATATCTACAAAATTTTCCTCTTCGATAATGTCGGATATCTCAACTTCTGAAACAAATGACGGAGCTTCGGCATCGTCAATAACAAGCGCATCTTCAGGTGCCACCTGAAATCCTAATCTTTCCACGAGGACACCATCCACATATTTCTCCAACCCAATTAAATTAAAAATAGCCTCTTCACTTGGGGACAGTTTTTTCTCCATATTAGGGCCACCTCCCGTTCCTTTCCGCAACTTCACGTTTTCCGACGCCTTTTGCCGGACATATCGCTTTTGGTCGCACCATACCTAAAGAAAATTGTGTAGATTTACATAGGTACTGACACAGAGCCCCAAGTGTGTGTGTTTTAACTTTTTATATATTAACATTGATTACCTTTTTCCACTCTACGATATTTTTTACTGGTGGTCCCGCCGCGTTAAGCTCCAACTCTACTTTTTCCAAAATCGTGTCTGGTCCTCTTTGTCTCCTTTAAAAAAACCTCTAGCAATGGCGGGTTGCGTTTCCATTAAGCTGATAAGCAATTGCAATTGCGTTTTATTTGTAGATTTTGACCTAAAAAGAAGAACTAGTTACTATTTTTTTGTTATTTTATGAAAATACTTACTATTTGGCTGAAACTCGCTTGCAAGTCACCGGTGAATAAATTCTCGCGGGCTGTCAAAATTTTCCGCCATTCACTTGCGTTAGAGATGCCTACTTTTCATTTTCGAAATCTTTCGAACTTGTTCAGAATAGGAGGAAAGCGGAAAGTGAAAAAATCCGATTTTTTTTTTCGTTTAGAATAGGAGGATTGCGGAAAGTGAAAAAAGTCGAGCGGAAATATTATTTAGAATTGGGCTGTATATATATACATATATGTAATTGGCGCAATTGAAATGGATACAAGAAATGCCAAAAATCGAAGCTTGTATTCTTTGTAAGACGATTATCAGTAACTTTAATAATCAAATCAATTACAAAGCCAATATTTCGTATGCTTCAATTGTTCGCACTCAATACCTGTTTATCATGGACCGGTTTGTTTCCAGCCTTCACTTCCCTCTTGCAGACGATACAGTTGCAGTTCATTCCCGCGATATCCAACGATGCAGCAGTAAATTTATGCAGCTTCCCAGTAACACAGCAAATCTTAGGCTAGTATCCAAGGTAGCAGTTCCAACGCGGAAAGTAAGCAGCAGCTCCAACGGTAGGTAAGTATGTATACAATAAGAAATAAGTAGCAGTTCTAACGGAAACTTTTTTAGTGGTAAGTTATTTGATTCCGTTTTGCGAAATAATTTTTGTTTATTTATGTGTGTGTAAAATTTCGTTTTTAACAGCCGTATGCCTTTTAATTGTGCTTGTATATATGTCTATATATATTTTTTGAAATTATTCTTAATTTTAATTTTTGTGTGTTTTATGCACTACGGCCCACTGTCACTGCACTCTATTTGTTCCCTGCTTATTTTTATGGTTTGTGTGTATGTATTTTTGCTATGCGAGACGACTGACTGTCACGGAGCGCGCAGGCAACTAAATAAACGTTATGTGTACTCGTATATTGATGTATTGTATCAAAGGAGTTAAAGTTTTTTAGTAATTAAGGACTTCTTATTTCAATAGTTTGTCCAAATCACTTTGTATGACAATTCATCGCCTTTGCTTTTAATAATTTAGCAAATTCACTTATATTTTTTATATGGATTTCGCACTAAGTCCCTGCTCGGGCGCCATGAAATTTCAACACTATTTTGTGCTAAGTTGGTTTGTACCTTTTTTTTATCAGTTTTAGTCACTTTTAGAGGAGCGCGAAACACTACAAAATTATTTCCTATTTAGTTGCCTGGGAGAACAAATAATGACCGCACATACTGCCTAACCTAACGGCTTAACTTAGAGGTATTAAGCAGGAGAAAAACCGGGTGTTTAGGCCCATACCTAAATATTCTGCACCACTCTAATGCGCGTTAAATAATTTTGTATCTGAGTGCACACACACATACATAAGATACGGCTAACATTCCAGCCGTTAACAATATGCCCCACCGTACGGTAATTGAGTTGAGGGGAAACTCAACGAAAGTTACTGTTGGGCGGGCTCAAACCCTTTTCGTTTGATGGCACTCCGTCACTTCCTAGAAGACCAGCAGAGCGACTGCCAGCCACCACACCACGTCAGCAAGGTAATCTCATCAAGCTATTAGCAAAATCTATATTTAAATTCACTCTGTTTTATTAAACATTTTTTCTCAACAAATAAAGCAAACATTTGTTATTATTGTTAACTATTAAACACTAATACGCTGTTGTTTTTTTCACTTATTTTCTTTACGTGCGAGCGCCTTAAAAATTCCAAGACGCCGGCGCGTAAATATTGGTCCTTCTCAACCGAGAAATTGTCCTCCGAGTACTCCACAGCGCCAAAAATACAGTCCACACGCACTACTGCCGCTTGATCACCGCATTATCACAATTTGCAACAGGATCATCTGCCAGTTGAAGCCTTTTTTATTTTTGATACACCGCAAAAGGACATAGGATACACTGCCACTTGATCGCTACATTTGCCACAGCAGCAACCGTTCCAGCAACTTATTTTGTCACAAAAGCAGCACTTCCACTTACAAAGGTACGTGGTTTTGATTTCACACCTTAGTGCATTTTAAAACATTATTTATAAAATCGAGTGTCAAACAAAAATATCGCGGATGAATTTTTGAGAAAAAGGGTAAAAAAGATTTAATTTGCTTTGAACTTTATAAAAAATTTGCAAACCGTTCGTTTTGTTTTTTGTTTTCCACATTTGCTATTAAGATACACCGAAGATACCGCCATTTTGAAGTGATCAGGTGTTGTTGTTGCAAGGTGATTTATTTAAAGCGAAGCACTTGCTTAATACAAGTTTTTCGGTGCACAATTTTAAGTTCATATCATTTTCACCTTGATTTTGATATTTTATTATAACTCCCTTTGTGTCACTGATCTATAAGTTTTTTTCAGCCGTGTGCTATTAAGATTTCACTTGGGACGTTGTTGTTGGGGTTAAGTTACTTGTTTTAATCAAAGCACTTGTTTAATAAAAGTGTGCTATAAAATTTCACTTGGTACGTTGTTGTTGCGGTTAAGTTAACCTTTCAATATAGGTACTTATACAGCAGATTTTTCAGCGTACAATTTTAAATTCTTATCATTTTCACCTGTTGACTTTGGTATTTAATTATAGTTCCACCTTAGTGTCTCTGGTTACAGATTGGGTTAGTTAGTGCCTTAAACAGTTCACTTCACTTTTTTTGGTGTATCAAGTATTTGATTGCGCATGTAAACATACATACACACATAATATTTTGTATTGTGGAGAAGGACGGGTTCTTTTTTCCCTCTTTTTGTTCACAACATTCACTTTTGCGACAAAATTCACTTCGACCGATTACAGTGTTGTATACACTACATATATATATATATAAAGAGTTTGGTGGCAAGTAATTTACCATACGGAAATACATACATATATATAACTCGTCCTTGCTGAAATAAAATAAAATAAATTATTAATTACGCCTTGGTCTTGGCGCCTTCCAAGCCAGCGTGGAAAACCCCACATGCAAAATGTGCCATAGCCATGAGCACAGGCTAAAAAGGTGTGACAAATTTTACGATTTAACACCACTAAAGCGGCTCGAATTTATTAAGAGCATCCACAGTTGCTTGAATTGCTTGTCAGCCAGCCAAAAGCAACAGCTCTTAGTGCACCTCCAAGCCCGTCCGACGATATAGCCTCTACTTCTGAGCAAGGAAAACGGCGGGAAGCTGCGAAAAAGAATAAAGCAGTTAATAAAGTTAATTCATGTCATGCAAACTCAAATAAAGGAGTACTGTTAGGAACGGCACGGGTCAACATTCATCATAATGGTGTAAATTATTCAGCGAGAGCGCTCAATGATTCTGGTTCTGAGTGTTCTTTCATAACCGAAAGACTCAAACGAAGAATCAACCTGCCATCGAAACCCTTGCATGCCCAAGTTTCGGGCAGCAATACTTCAATATCGGCGCAGGTAAAAGAAGCGTGTGTTATTCATTTGCGATCTCCTACGGATCCGTTAATCAATATAAACACAACCGTATTAGTTTTGCAACAATTGACAGGGGATTTGCCGACTTGCCAAGTAAGCGCAATGACGCGGCAAGCATTCCCAGACTTGATTTTGGCGGACAAGAGATTCTTCATCCACGAGCCCGTTGACCTCGTCTTAGGCGGTGACGTCTACCCCCAAATCATTTTAAGCGGGTTAAAGAAGAACATCCTAAATGCACTTCTCGCCCAAGAAACCGTGTTCGGTTGGATACTGACCGGTCAAGCGGAATCATTGAATCCAACCAATAAAACAGTATCATTTTTTAATGAAGTTACTGTGGATAAACAGTTAACGGCCTTCTGGGAGCTAGAAGATATCCCCAAGAAAAGAAGTATGAATGCCGATGACATATATTGTGAAAGGCTTTTCAAAGCAACGACAAAGCGAAATGATGATGGGAAGTACATTGTCTCCTTACCCTTCAGGCAAGATTTTCCAAATAATGTTTGTCTAGGACCATCACTAAAAAGCGCTTGCTCTCAGTTCTACCGGAACGAGACGCGACTAGCAAAAAAACCTGTTCTTCAAACAGGGTACAACCGGGTTTTATGTGAATACGAAACATTGGGCCACATGTCAAAGATTTCAACTACCGTATCACCAGAGTCAACCGACTGTTATTTCCTACCACATCATTCTGTGTTAAAGGAGGAGAGTACCACAACAAAGGTCAGAGTGGTATTTAATGCATCATGCCCAACCGCCAACGGAATGAGTTTAAATGACGTCCTCCTTCCAGGTCCTGTACTTCAGGCCGATTTAACTATCCTCATACTCCGATGGAGACTGTTCCAATACGTCTTCAACAGCGATATAGAGAAAATGTATCGGCAAATATTTGTAAATGAGAATCAAACGAAATATCAGCGCATAGTTTTTCGTACCTGCCCAAGAGAACCAATTAGCTTATACGAATTAAAAACGGTGACTTTTGGCATCAACTGTGCTCCTTACCTCTCGATAAGACATTGCATCAACTAGCTGATGAGGTTGAGAGCTCGTTTCCAATCGCATCCGAAATTTTGCGAAAGTGTATGTACGTGGACGACGTACTTGCTGGAGGACACAGCATCGAAGCAGCGATTAAA